ACCACTCTGTGACAACAAGAGTCGGCCTGTCTCAACTCCTCTTGCCTTGTTATTGATGCTGAACACCCATGGATACAGCAATGGAGCGTGGGTCTGGATGCATATCTGGTTGCTACTGGGAGTCCTGCTGGACTTCGATTTCTAAGGTTACCACCACGGTTTCCCTGGAGATAGCTAAGGATTCACATCCAGAGCCACCATATTAATGAGAAGATGGACGACCTGTTCCACATTTCACTCCAGTGGGCTGAGGGCCCATGGCACCGACGTCTGATGGTCTTCTGTCTGCCTTGCAGGATGACCATGTTGTTATGGACTCATACAAGGGCATGTCTTTTGCATGGGGCTGACCAGGTGCCTGGCCTCCAGCAGTATTCAAAGTATCAGAAAATGAGGACTGTACCAATTCCTTTAAACGTATTAAGCTGCATCACTTTCTCACCATTCTCACCTGTCAAGTGACAACTCAAGTTTTCAAGGGCAGGTGATGGTCAAGTGGTGTTATCGCTGGACTGTTAATTCAGAGACCCAGATAACATTCTGGGGACCCAGGTTCGAATCCTGCCATGGCAGATGGTGGAATTCGAATTGAATAAATATCTGGAATTAAGAATCTAATGATGACCATAAATCCGTTGTCAGGAAAAACCCATCTGGTTCATTAATGTCCTTTAGGGAAGGAAACTGCCATCCTTACCTGGTCTGGTCTACATGTGATTCAAGACCCACAGCAATGTGGTTGATTCTTAACTGCCCTCTGGGCAATAAATGCTGCCTAGCCAATGATGCCCTCATCCTCTGAATGAATAAAGGTTCAGACATAAATTGTCTGAGAACAATTTCTCTATCTGCAATGGGGCTTGGTTAGCTCCAGGACTGTTTGTTCCAGTATGGGGTGGCAGACAGAGGAATCTGGGGGCCTGATAATTACTTTAGCCCAATGTGAGTGACTAACTGAACTGTTCAGATAAGGTATCGTCCAGAGCAGTGATGTGTTTGGTATTCTAATTTTTGTATCTTCATCTATCTCCTCTTCTTCATACTCTTCTCCATTGGAGGAGGTTCAGGAAGTAAGCAGCGGGAGTGAGATCCTTCCATATTGCAGACAGCACATTGGTAGAATGCAAAACTTCAGGGTGATGAATACTTTCAGTCTCAAGACTGATTTGCTCAGCATTCTCCAGCACAGCATTCTTCAGAAAAAAAAACACACATATTGCTACTCTACTTATTCATCTCTCTGTCGGCATCTCACAACCCCCTTTGAGCAGTCAACTCTCATCGTCAGCCTATGGCCCTCACCAGCACAAATATTGTCCTCCCTCCCGTTCATACATTAACGATTACCAACGCTGTCACCTTCTGACTTTTCTCTTTGCAGGAGAAGAGAGCACATGACTTGGCAAGAGGCAGAGATCCTGAGGGAGGTCCTACAGGTTCAGACACATAGACTGCCTTTGGCAAAGTGTGTCCAGCTGCTCCAATCAGTGGAAGGAGGCTGCATATGTCAGCAATGAGCTGCTATGAAATCCTGAGCATCCTCAGGCACCAGTGCTCAGCCATGTTGAGAGAGCCGATCCTCTTCCTATAGACTCTGGTTTGTGGCTCTCATATCCTTGGTGCTGAGTCTCTATGTCCATTTCGGCTGCCTGGTGGAGGGGCACACGGTTGAAGAGAATCTTGCTGGAATTGCTGATGGAGTTAGTCCTGTTGCTGCTCAAGTTGCTGGTCGTGGTGGCTGTTGCCTCTGCTCTTGCCCCTCAGTGGAGGTGGAATGGATATGTGAAGTGCTACACTAATGAAGTGCCATCCAAAGAAAATTATCAATCCCGTATCCACCAGTGATACCTATGTGTGAAAAAAGACTTATGAACAACAAATTTTCAATGGTCAGGACTGAGGAGCTGTCTTTTTCTAGGTCTTTTCAATATTAACCTGTTTAAAAAGATGTTCAATGTTAGTACACTGATATTCAAGGATACAGTTTCAATGGAGGTGACTTTAACTTCCAAGTTGACCAACTAGCAGAATTTATTGACAACAAGGTGCAGGGCTGGATGAACACAGCAGGCCAAGCAGCATCATAGGAGCAGAGAGGCTGACGTTTCGGGCCTAGACCCTTCATCAGAAAAGGGG